TTCCTTGTGAAATTTTCGGTAATCCATATATTCTTGGAAGTAGCGCTGTGGTAGTAATTATCTTACTTCTTTCGTCCTTTGAAATACCCAGAAAATCAAAACTAAAAACAAGAATAATCCAAGACAAATCCGACTTCAAATTAAGACATCAAAATAATATACAAACAAGTAAGAGGTTCTAGGCGGGAGCTCCTGACTAGGGAATACCCTGAATCCTCTTATTCCAACACCAAACTAATTTAAAACAAGCAAGAGGTTCTAATCGGGAGCTCCCGACTGAACCCTCTTCTTCCAACATCAAATGCATATATATATTTTATTTTAGAAGCTATATGTCAAGTTTGTTGACTGTAGCTTTTATTATTTACCAAAATTGCCCAAAACACAGGATATCGATATCGATTTTATCGATTGCTTGGAAACGGAGTAAGTTATCGATTATCGGAAACAAACTCGATCTGCGCGGGAGCTAGGAGCATCTACATCTAAAATTTCTCTAGCTCTTATAGGTTCTAAGATCCTTGCGTTCATACATACGGACGGACGGACGGACAGACAGACGGACATGGCTAGATCGACTCGGCTATTGGTTCTGATCAAGAATATATATACTTTATGGGGTCGGAGATGCTTCCTTCTGCCTGTTACATACATTTGGATTTTGCACAAATACAATATACCCTTTTACGTATTTTTAATGGGTTTAGGGTATAAAAAAAGTTCCCTTGGCAGGGTTCGAACTCGCGACAGACCGCACCACTTGCTATGCCTCTAAGCCTCAGCAGCCACACCAATTTTTAAGCACTTATGATAAAAAAGGAACTTAAATAGCATTACAGAAAAAAGTCGCAGTTCCCATGCTGTCAGAATGCGAAGCAGACGCGCGTGAATGTGTGTGTGTAAATTAATATTTAAATAAACTTACAAAAGATTGATCAAAATTACCTAAGCTATTGTGTGCTTTTTACAACGGCCACTAGAATGCTTAGCTTGCGCCTCGTACGCTGCGGTCGTGCAAGAACATCCGGCCCAGAGCTATTTTAGCATCTGCGGCTGGTGTTATGTTGCATTTTGCTGACCCCTGTTAGCTCGTAAGAACATCCGGCCCAGTGCTATATCAGCATCTGAAGCTGGTATCGTTGGCCTCTGTTAACTGCTCCCCTTTAAAGTTAAGGCCGCCCTCGGCCGCTCCCATCTCGGTGATCACCCTTTTAATCTCCTTGTTTGCCGATGCCGGGGAACTTACTCTGGACGTTGTTGCGATCCAAGTACTTAGTTTCGTTGATCAGAGCCCAATTATTGAACGTGATTAGATTCGTTCCGTGAACCCAAGTCTCAGTACCGTTCTCAGTGCAAACTTTAGCAGGCCGGTTGTTGATGATCAGAATTTCGTCATCGACACTTTTGGCAGTTTGCCAAGCCACCAGCATGCAGCTCTCTGGCACAAGAGCTGGTCGGTGAAAGTTGACAAAACGTTCCTCCGGGCGTGGAAGCGCAATTCTTAAGGGCTTGATCCCCGCACTCAGCTATAAGTTGACGTCAATTTGTAGTACAGCATTCTCACCTTTCTGCAAGCCATTTTGATTTTCGGGAACTTAATGATATAGTGAAGGGCATTAACAGTTTGTAATACATACACGGACGCAACGGACATAAGCTCAGCTATTGAAGTGGGTTCATCGATCCAAACAGATTTCAAATCTGCGTGATCTAATATATTTGGGCTTATGATATTAATTTTTGCAAGGTAACAGTGAGCATAAAATTCTGCATTTCCAACAGCAACATTCTATTTCGAGCTTAAAGAGTTTCGTATAAATGCCCAGAATCTACTGATTCTTTTTTGCAGCCTTTAGTAATTTGTTGACACTTGTAGTGAGTATTGATTTGTTTCTCGGTTCTTGCAGTGCCACAACTTTGTGCTTGGAAACATGCGAACCAAACCATCCTGCACCTGTGCTAGTATGTGCAGGTTTCAATAGAGGGCATTAACTGCATTTGGATTAATCAAGTCAAGGAGTTCATCTCAAAAAGGGCTGCGCAAAGTGAAGCTCACTTTATGACGCCTCTTGTCCTCGAAAAGAATAAAGTTGCGTTTGGTGGGGACGCGTGACTCTTCAATGACAATTTGATTTTGGAAACAATTAAGTGGCTTTTCGGTTGACTAAATTGTATAGAGGACAGCTCGTTGTGGACTGTGGCTGCGCAGGAATCAGTATTCAGCTCGTCAAGAGCGTTGAGCTGTTGTCGCCATAGCGCATCAGCAACTAAATTCTCGTTGCCTGGGTTATAATATATTCGCGCATTCGTTTCCTCAATGCTCGCCTTACATCCTTTTATTTTGGCATTCGGGCTTGAATCAGAAACGGCAAAAGTTCTCATATTTGCCTCGTACAGGCTCTTTAAGACCCACTCTACATGTTGGACATGAGAATTTTCGTCTTTTGAGAAGCCCAGGACATCGTCCACATAGACATAGCAACAGTTTTTTGGTAGATGCTGGCCGCATTCTTCAACCCAAAGGGAAGTCGACAAAATTCGTACTTCCCCCTGTTAACAGCAAAGGCTGTTTTTCACGGTCAAGATTCCCCAAAATAATTGGAATGTTAGGCATAGGGATTCTGTCTGTCTGTCTGCAAAAATCCATTACGAGGCGCATATTCTTGTTTCCAAACTGATCTGTTCCCTTTTTGTCCACCAAACAAATGGGGTTGTTTTAGGAGGAAACAGATTTTTTGATGATACCGTTCTTCAGAAGGCTTTGAATCTTTTTATTAACGAATTCCGCTGATCCCATGGGATAGGGGTACAGTCGGAAATAAGCTGGTTGTTCATCAGTCGTCCTGATGGTGGCCACTACCACTGATGTATTAAAGGGAAGTGCTTATTCCGGATCCGCGAAGGCCTTATGTTTGCTTTTTAGCATTTTTAGATATGCATCTTTTACAGCATCGGGCGCGTCGGCGCTGTCAACATTGGTAAAGTTAACATCCGCGCACCTGTGGAATTTGATTTATCAGTTTCTGCGCCACATTAGAGTTGGCCAGAAGAAAGCGACACTCCTGCGTGAGCAAGTCGAGCCCCTAAATTCCATCAAACGTGGACAGGTCTGGGAGTAAGAAAAAGTGGCAGTTTGGCCGAATAGAATTATAAGGTACTTATGAGTGATAGAATGGGCAGAGAAGGAAGAATTAACTGGCCACACACCTTTTAGATTTTTATGTGGTCTGATATAGTTCTTGGAAGCGCCCGTGTCGATGAGAAATCTCATCATGATCCTTTCTACTCTGCTACTGATGTAAGGCAGCAGGAAGCTTCCCTAAAAAATTGAGAGTGTCATACCCGCTACCATTATCGTCGTCGGCAGAACAGCAGTTCTTCTGCTGCTGCTGAGCTAGCATACGAACCTGAATCTTGATCAGGCTCGTGAGCTGTGTGATTGACTCTCTGCCTCCTCTGTACGCTTAAACGCCCAGACGTGGCCGTTCTTTTGTAGGCTTGAGGAGCGCTAGAGTTAACTTGCTTGTGCTTGCGATGCTGGTGCTTGCGATGGTTGTAGAATTTTAGACACAGATGGATCGACGTCCCTTGGTTCCTGTGACCCGCCAACTTTGTTCCACCTGCCACTTTGTTGTTCAAATTAACTTTGTTGGTGTTTCTGTTGTTTAGTGAAGTGAGGATTTTTGGAGCCGCTGGGTTGCGGATCCCCCTGCTGTTGACCACTACCTTGCTGACGGACCTTCGGCCTCGGGGTCACTTTTCGTTCCCTATCTTCTTGCCCTTTAGCGAAGCTAGCGGCAAGGGCGTACCTCTCATGGTTTACCGCTACCTCCTATGGTAGAGGTAGGGCCGACGGTAAGTCCTTATACTTTGCAGCGAACAGGACGTCCGTCCGGCTACGCTTTAGGCATGAGACAAAAACACACAACGCGTCATCTCTGAACTTCATACAGAGCCCTAGTTCCATGCTTGGTTCGTAGGATATATTGACCTTATTGTCGACCTCGTCATAGTATTGTAAAATGTTTAATTAGCCCTGTCTTAGGGAGATCATCTCTTGCTCTATGATGTGAATGCCTCTCTTATCCCTGTATGTGAAATCAAGAATGTTTATTATGACATCAAAATTCATTTCTGTGCCAAACTGACCCAAACCCCCTTAAGTTGCCCCTCTAATTTTGCTCTTAATAATAATGACCGCCTGGTAGTGGCGTGAGCTGCCGTCGTATGGCTTGTAATTTTATATAGCTTGTAATTTTATATCACAGCTTGTCTCCAGGAGGCGTACATCTCTGGCACGCCCGTAAATTCAGGTAAGCATTTAACGGCGTCCAATGGTTCATTACATTGGACGTTGTTTCTGATTTCCACCGGCTCAATTACCTGGACCGGAGGTGTTTCCATACTACTGGCAGATATTTTGCCGGCCAATTATTTTAGCCGAGCGTTTAAGGAAGCCCTCAGTTCTGCATCTCTTTGCTTCAATACTGCGCTCTGTGCTTCTAAGGCGGAGGCCATTGCGGCCTGCATCAAAGCCCTAAACTGCTCAGGCTCCTTATCTATATTACACCTGTTGTCACCGATTTTTTGCGGGATGGCGTCCCTATCTACGTCGGTGGAGTCGTCTGACTTAGATCCCCTCGCAGAGCGGTCTCTGTACCAGAGAAACGAGCTCTTTATGGACTATACTGTCAAAATTATGTTACTCAAAGTATGTTGGGAACACAATTACAGTAATTTTAATATTTCTCAATTATGTATTTTTGGATTTAATTTAATTTTCTTTAATGTATCAATATGTTAATTGTGTTATTTTTTTTTTTGGGGGGGGTTAGTGCCCTGAATATATTGGTTAGATTTAAACAAAATTGCGTTTAATCTTGTCTTCAATAAATAAACCCCGGACCTCGAGCCAGCCAAACAAACAATTATAGAATGGAAACTTCGCCAACCTCAATATAATATAATATACAAGTGTATAAAAAGATTGTAAGTGTTACCTGTTCCACCCAAAGATTTGTAGTCATAATCTGGTTTTTAAGATTCTAAAAATGAAGAGAAAATGTTTATTTAATACAAATCAAGTAAAGAGGCTATAGTCGGGAATTTCCGACTATGAGGTGTCCTAAATCTACAAAAAACCAAAGATCTACAAAATCGTTTGCTTTAGCAGTAATAAAAATAAATAACTTAATTCTATTTGAACCTGTAAGCAAAAGAACTCTTTGCTACCGCAATTAATTTTTATTGAATAAAATAGCAGCACATACGCACGAAACAGTATACAATTCAATGTGTGTGTGCGTATGTGAACTTTTGGGGACAGTAAGCGACTAAATTTGCGTCTAGTCACTATTATACGCGGAAACGTAATATATGACCTGCATGAGATGCAAGCTAAGCATTATGCTGGACGACATCCGGCGTTGAGGCATAGACTAGGGCTAGCCAGTAATAATCGTATATTTGTCAAAATAGTCTTAATATATTTCGAATTGACAGTGTCGGTGCAGCCGAGTATAATAAATAAAATAAACTAATGAAAATAACCATTGCGTTATTCTTTGGGAAGTCAGACCGCCATAAATCAATTTATGGCGATAACTGGCGCACACCTATGTATATATAAAAACAAAATCCACGGGAAAAAGATGTGAATGGTGTGGGAATTAAAGACCAAAAATAAGTAAGAAAAGTAATCGGGCGTTAAGCGAAAAATATCAGTGAGTAAAGTTGCGCAGGCTATAAGACTTTTAAAATAAAATATATAAAACTTTAAAGCAATTCCAGCGGCGACGAAGACCAAAAGCGACCAAGGGTTTGGCACAGAAGAGCTGGACAAAATCATATAACACGATAACATTAAAGCGGCAGCAAGAAATACATGTGTTAAATCTTAACAACTATTATTTTACGAATCCCGTCAGGAAATTAAAAACAAAAACCAAGTAAGAGTTTCTAGTCGGCAGCTCCCGACTAGGCATACCATAAACCTTCTTATTCCAACACCGAATAAATTATAAAAAAAAACAGTTCACTTGTTCCTCATTACTTGCGGTCGACTCTACTCAACAGTCACACCAGCAGAAGAAAACAAATAAGAGGTTCTAGTCGAGAGCTTCCGACTAGGGGATACCCTGAACCCTCCTCTTCCAACATCAAATGCATATGTATATTCTATTTTAGAAGCTGTGTGTCAAGTTTGGTGACTCTAGATCTTATTATTTACCAAAATTGCCCAAAAATCAGAATATCGATATCGCTTTTGATGCTGATCAAGAATATATACATTATGGGGTTGGAGATGCTTCCTTCTGTCTGTACATATGCATTTTACCCATTTTCAATGGATTAAGGGTATAAAAAACGAATATTTTGTTTCGTTTCCAGAAATTAGATTTGATAATATTGTGCGTGTTTTCTTTTAATATTCTAAACAAAGCCATAATATAAAGAAAATATTTACACCACGCTACAAATTTCAACTATGTTATTGCAAATATTAAAGAATTTACAGCGATGAGCGAGCTATGTGATAAGTTACATTTTTTATAGCTGAATTTACTTTATTTTGTCTATGTCGGCAACCAAGAAAACACGTTACTTTTAACCAATTGTTTACTTTTATATTTTTCGATATTTGATGATAGACAAGTGGAGAGTCTTCATAGAACTTTTTGTGACATTGGCAAGGGCAATACAAAGAAGGATGAAAGACACCGTCGAAATCATTCTACAGGACACAATAGAGTTCAACCGTTCGTACCATTTAGTCGTCGGGAGAAGGCTTGTTGAAGTTATTCACTCACCACCACGCGAGATTGATCGAAAAAAAATGAGAAAAAGAATCCACAAATAGCAACAGTTGGATAGGAACTTCTTGACAGAATCGAGTTTTCGACGACACGAATTAAGACTTGAAAAAAGACCTTATATGAAACGAGAGAGAAGGGCTATCTTCGGCACGCCAAGAATCTAATACCCTTGCAGACCCAACCTTTTCATAATGCTCATAGTGCTTTGCCTCTATCTAAGAAGTACCGGGAGAATAGTAAATGCCGAGTTTGGTCAAGATATCTTGATAAACAAAATGTTTTTTCATACAACTTAATTTTCGACCGATCGTTCCTATGATAGCTATATGATATAGTGGTCCGATCCTTAAAGGATTTTGCACATATATGAGGAGTTAAGTAAAACTAATAAATGCCGAGTTTGGTCAAGATATCTTGAAAAACATAATGTTTTTTCATACAAAAACTTAATTTTCGACCGATCGATCCTATGGCAGCTATATCATATAGTGGTCTGATCTTAATAGGATTTTACATATATATGAGGAGCTTAGTAAAACTAATAATAGCCGAGTTTGGTCAAGATATCTTGAAAAACATAATGTTTTTTCATACAAAAACTTAATTTTCGACCGATCGTTCGTATGGTAGCTATATGATATAGTGGTCCGATCCAGCTGGTTTTCAGATATGTGCTGCGTGCAACAGAAAGAGGGAGTTCTGCAAAGCTTCATTAAGATAGCTTTAAAACTGAGGGACTAGTTCGCATAGCAACAGACAGACGGACAGACGGACTTGGCTATATCGACTCGGCTCTTGATGCTGATTAAGAATATATATACTTTATGGGGTCGGAGATGTCTCCTTCTATGCGTTACACATTTCACGACAAAATTATAATACCCTCTGCAAGGGTATAAAAAATTAAAATAGAAGCTGATTTGGGAACAACTGTTTTAAGTGAAGGAAAACAACCCGTACAACAATTATTATAAATATTTGTTGTAGTCCGAGCTTGATGGGTTTGCTCACCCTAAGTGTTCACCATGGGCTCTGTTTTGTAAATTATTGCAATGACATCTGATTATGAAGACCCTTAAGAATCTCGGTTGACAGTAGGTGAACTCAATTAGTTACAGAATCTGACGGTAGCGATCACGGTTGCCAATATAAATGTAGTAAGTTCCACAGCAATAAACAACGGTGATTTAAAAGTAATAGTGAATAAGTAACAGGTATTAGTGTAACCCAATAAATGAATGTAGCTTACGTTGAGCTTTTAACAAACGATAGCATAATCCACATTATCGTAAAAGTAAGTAAGATCTTACAAATAAAGTTATATTCCCAGTCGCACACGCCGGCGTTGAAATAGTTGGTAAAATTGGTGGTTGGTTCCATTTATTTTATAGTTATATATGTTGGGGGAGGTTGGCGATTACTATAAAATGAAAGATACTTAATCTATATAAGCTAACACATAACACTTTATATAGGATATTTCATAAGTTATGATCAACCCTCGCTATCGCGTGCTTCATAAGTTAAGGAACAGCCCCCGCAATTGCGACACTGCATACTTTGTATCAGCGCGCAATAGCTGCAATGGTCAGCGGCGGTAACCGGACACTTTTGTTTGCTGCAAGAGTTTCCGTTATTGCCTAAGATTTTGCTGAGTCGGCTTGCCGACCATGACATTGTGGCGTGATGCGAGTTTTGGCTTAGCTTAAGTAAAATTTTCTGTGCATTAAGTTTTTAAGTTTTGTATTTGACGTTTAAGAATAAACTTGCACTACTCCGGCACGCTGCCGTAAATATTATTTGTTATATATTACAAAAACATTACTGAGCCACAAGGCCAGTAATTAGCAAAGAGAGTGAAGTCAAACACTCCACCATAATCGTCCTAAATATCACTGGACTAGACATCGCTGGACGAGAGACGGATCAACCATCGCCTCATTGGACCAGCAGATCGACTTAATTGGCGCCCAACTAGTGGTCGGACACAACAACCAAAACAAGTAAAACAGCAGCACAGGAGCTGCAACAATCAACAACAATTAAGACAGCAGCGCGGGAGCTGCGAGTGACCAATTTTATAAAGAAAATTTTTTTGTGTTAATTGAATCATGTAAGTGGATACTCTAGCCAAAATTTTTCTTCAAACACAAAATTTTTTTTTTATTTTATAAAAAATTAGTTAGTACTAGTGAGTATTTTATATTGCAACAGATCATATAAAAAAATTTTTTTTTAAATAATAATAATCAGAACCAAGTTTCTGAGACACGTGAGAGTGACTGCTTTGAGAATTTTAGTTGAAACAATTTATCATCCAGATCGTTAATAAAATTACTTTGTGTTACTTTCTATGTGTCTAAAATTGTGCTATAACAATACATACAGTTCTCATGGTTCAGAGCTGCGACGTAATTCGACCCATCTTTTGACGGCCCGTTTTTTTTTCGCATGTCACGGTTCAGCCAATATAGAAACCCTCGCAAGCAGTCTAGCGACTCAGATTCCGACTGTGACATTCGCATCAGAGTCCCGGCTACAAGACTTCTCCCTGCAGTTCCCCCACCATCAGGTAAAATGGATCCAGATCAGCTTAGGGAAGTAGTAAGGACGGCTATCAGCAATGCTTTAGCCGAACAGGCCGCTGCAAACCAGCAGAGGGAGCAAGCGTTGACTCAAAGAATTAATGAGTTAGCTGAATAAATAGCAGCAGCAAACGTTGCCGCCCCACAAGTAGTAGCATATGATGCTATAGGAATTAGAAACGACATTCGCTGTGACGAGCCGCTAGATGCCGTCAAGTGCTTACCTGAGTTTGCAGGAGTACAGGAATCTTATGTATCGTGGAGGCAGGCAGCATTAGCCGCTTACGAGATCTTCAGACCACTTAATGGATTAGGTGCCCCGCAGACGCGGTGCTGGCCTCATTTGGTACTGTATTGAAATTTGATGCGATAATAAATCGCCTAGATTTCACATACAGTGACAAGAGACCAATGTCATTGAACAGGAATTAGGTACCTTGAGGCAAGGTGGCCTGTCCCTGCTTCAATATTACGATGAGGTAGAGAAGAAACTCACTCTTCTCACTAACAAAGTTAACATGTCATATGAGCCGGCTTTAGCAAAGGGCCTATGTGAAAAATTCCGCGACGATGCGTCGCGTGTGTTCATATCGGGTCTCAGGCCCAGAGATTTGCCTTCAGCTGTAGCTCTCCCGCAAGAGGTCG